AACTACGCAGAAGGCATCTATACACCACCACCGTGCCAAGCCAGGGCCAGCCTGGCCCTGGCATGGTGCATACGCCCTCCTGGCCGAGGCCAGGAGGGTCTATACACCATCCTAGGGCCCAAGATGGCCCTGGCCTGGCACGGTGGTGGGATACAGACGCCTTCGTCAGACGAACAACCACCCCCCCCAACAAAAAAAAACACCAGAGCGGCACGGAACCCTGGTAGAGGGGCAGCCAAAAAGAGCGGCGCGCGCCGCCTGGTACCGCAGCCGGTCGCTGGGCAAGCCGCGCAGGGCCTGGCGGGGTGCCCCACCCGCGCCCATCGCGGCGCCCAGACGGCCGACAGCCGCGTTGGCTCCACCTCCCTCCTCCACCTCCTCCTCCTCCTCCTCCTCCTCCTCCTCCTCCTCCTCCTCCTCCTCCTCCTCCTCCCTCCTCCACCTCCTCGTCCTCCTCCTCCTCCTCCTCCTCCTCCTCCTCCTCCTCCTCCTCCTCCTCCTCCTCCTCCTCCTCATAAGCCTCCTGTGAGAAGCGGGGGGCGAAGCTGGAGCCCAAAATCGGCAGTGGCAGCAGGGTCCGTTGCTGCGGGCTCGAACGGGCCACCCTTAGCTACAGTGCAGAGATCAGCTCGTGCGAGAAGTTTGCAATCACAATCGAGGCTTCCTGGAGTTCTGGCTCGGCTCGGGGACGGACAGGCCCGAAGCGGCCAGAATTCCCACTGCACGAATCCGCAAGGCGTCGTGATCCGTTTTGGCCCGCTTGATCCCGCTTACACCTCCTCCTCCTCCTCCTACTCCTCCTCCTCCTCCTTCTGCGTCCTTCTGCGTGTCGGCTCAGTGCTCCCCACAGCGGGGGGGCGTAGCCGAAAGGAGGGGAGGACCACCATCCCTCCCCCCCTTCAGAAGAGCAAGTACTGGTGCCCGCTCTTCTGCTCGTCGTCGCATGCCCCCCTCTCCTCCTTCTCCTCCTCCTCCTCCTCCTCCTCCTTCTCCTCCTCCTCCTCCTCCTCCTCCCTCCTCCCCCTCCTCTTCCTCCTCCTCCTCTACGCGACGCAAGACGGATTCGAAAACGTTTCGAAAACCATTTTGGTGGAATGGCAAGTCATGCATCAGAGCATTCATCGTCCAACACGGCGCCACGCGAAAGAACGCTGCCACGTCAGACAGGACGAGCCTGATGGTTTGCGTCAGAGGTAAGAAGGGATGCCACGTGCGAACAATACCGCCGCAATGCATACGGAGATACCTCCAATCATACTGGTGAGTCTAACAAGCAACTGCGATAACCACACATCAATCAACAAGATTTCTACCTCGGCGGTTTGAGCGAGCACGGACTGTAGACACACATTTATCCTACCATTCATCGTCCAACACGGCGCTACGCGAAAGAACGCTTCTGTGCCAGACATGAAGAGCCTGACACTTATTCGTGGGAAATAATGGCAAATACAAGTTGCAAACAATGCAGCTATGCATACGGAGATGTCCCCATGAACCCTGGTGACTATTACAAGAAGAAATTGCGACAACTACACGTCAGACAAAAAACGCAGTTGCAAATGCCAACTGACCCAGAAATTTGGGAAATACGGTCATCTGGTGGGGTCTTAAATTCACCTCACTACCACGGATCAAGTTGCTGTCATCATAGGTAAAGGAATCAAGGAACAAAAAGTATTCCTTTCGGGGTTGAGGAGTGACTGACTGTAGACAAAAAGCCGACGCAATGCGCACAAGTCACATTTGTTGAACGCTAAATCATGCATCAGAACAGTCATCTTCCAACACGGCGCTACGCGAAAGAACGCGACCATGTCAGACAGGAAGAACCTGAAGGTCTCTGGGAGGTAAGAAAGGATGCCACGTGCGAACAATATCGCAATGCGTACGGAGATACCTCCAATCATACTGGTGAGTCGAACAAGCAACTGCGACAACCACACGTGAATCGTCAATTAACGAGAAGTCTGCCTCTTCAGGTTGAGCAAGAACTGACTGTAGAGAAAAAAATCTTCTGACCATGCAGCGTTCAACACGGCGCTACGGGAAAGAACAATGCCGTGTCAGACATGAAGAGCCTGACAATTGTTTGCGGGGTACTTAAAAATGCAAACAATGCCGCTATGCATACGGAGATGTCTCCATGAACCGTGGTGACAAGAAATTGCGACAACGACGCGGTCAGACTCGGAACTCGGAACTCGGAACTCGGACCTGTGAAGTGTACACCGGCGGGGGCGTTGCAGACGGGCGCCGTGGCGCCGAAATGAAGGCTGCGGCAGGCTCTACGCGCTGGCCACCGGGGATAGTGCGAACGGAAGGGGAGGGACAGAGACGCGCGACAAGCGGGCAAGGGAGGCGAGGCCGAGGAGGAGAGGGAGGGACGAACGACAACACGGACGACGAAGGAAACGCACGAGAGCGAAAGAAACCGAACGGCGACACGAACAGGAGCGATGCATCATCTACTAACAAATTTGCCTCAAGCGCTCGCCATAGGACTGTCGTAGCAGTAACAGGCCATTTGCATTCAGCACACATTGGTTCGGATGAAACCCGCCGACCCTGTCGGCGTGTGCGGGGTGTCTGTCTGGTCCCGTCGACTGGGAGCCTTTTTTCGCCCTGTCCTTCCCATCCTCCTCTCCCGCCGAGGGGGAGAGAGAGAGCACCATTTCTCGTTCGGGGAACGGGTTCGCAGCTTGAGGGAATTCCATCCACGTCCTCATTGCGTCAAAAAGGACCCGGCGGAGGGGAGGGTCACAGGGGGGGGGGTCAGATTCGCATCGCTTCTGGGGGTCCTCTCACACGCCGGTCCTTCTCTGGCGCCCCAGTCGTCCTCGGGACCTCCTTTCCACGGGGGGGATGCCAGGGAGGGGGGGAGTCAGATACGCATCCGTCCTTCTGGCCCTCCTCCCCCTCTCCTCCTCTCTCCCACGCTGGCGCTCCTCCGGCCGGTCCTCCTCCCCAGGGGGGGGTGCCCAGGGGGGAGTCCTTTTCCTCCTCCTCCTTCTTCTCCTCCTGCTCTTCTTCTTATTCTTGTTATTACTCATATTATTATTCTTATGATTACAAATAATATCAATATGTTATTATCATTCGTCTTATTATTCTTCTCCTTGTTATCAGTATTATTCTTCTTCGTTTATTACTAGTCTTATTATTATCATGTTCCTTCTTCTTATCAAAAATTGTAATATCCTTATTCTTCCTAATATAGCTATTATTACTATTATCATTATTATTCGTACTCATCTTATTAGTATTATTATTATTAGTAGTAGTAGTATTATTCTTATTCTTAATATGATTAGTACTATTATTAATATCTTTATTGGTTGTCTTCGTATTATTCTTGTGTTTATTATTAATATTAGTACTCCCATTAGCAGTCTTGTTATTATTATTATCAATATTACTATTACTTGTTCTTCGTAGTAGTATTTTTCTTAATATTCTTATTATTATTAGTATTCTTCTTCTTTTGATTATTATTAATACTATTCTTATTATTCGTATTCTTAAGATTATCATTATGATTATCCTTATTATTAATTTTCGCATTCTTATAATTATGATTCGTCTTCTTCCTATTCTTCTTATTATTATTCTTCTTATCATTGTTAGTACTCATAATCTTAGAAGTATTATTATTCGTCTTGGTGATCTTCTTCTTGTAATTCGTCTTCTTATTGATATTCTTATTACGATTATTCGTATTCTTATTATTACCAAGTTTATTATTATGTTTCGTCGTAGCATTAGTATACATATCAATGTTATTCGTGTTCGTATCATTAGTATTGGTACTGTTCCTCGTATTGATATTATTAGTATCAGTATTCTTCGTATGATTAGTATTATTCTTCTTATTCATATTATTATGATGCTTCTTATTTTTATTATTTTTATCATGATGATTATTATGATTAGTCCGTTGTTCTCCTTATTTTTCGTATGATTAATACTCGTAATATTGTTGTTGCTGTCATCATTATTCTTATTAAGTTACCATTTGTATTAGTATTAGTCTTCTGCTTATTATTATGAGTGAACAAATTATCCTTTTTATGTCTATTATCACTCATACTATATCATTGGTAGTTTTATTAACATACGTATTCTTAGAATAATGATCACTATTGTTCGTCTCCTCTTCGTAATAATATTCGTGTTATTGCTCCGAATAGTATTACGAGTCTTATTGCTATCATTAGTAGTATTCTTATTAGATTTAGTCGTCGTACTCCAAATATTCTTCTGTGTAGTATTATTATGTGTAAGGTTATTCGTATGTATGTGTCGTACTTGTCTTGTTCTTAGTATTCTTATTATTCTTAGTATGCGTAGTATGTGTCTTATGAGTATTCACATTATCTTTCATACTCCTATTATTATTGATATTATCATTGGCATTCGTATTATCAGTCGTCTTCTTATCAATATAATTCGTCTGAATCGTCTTCTTCGTATGATTAATAGTATTAGTATTATCCTCCTTCCCTCCTCCCTCTTCCCTCCTCCTCCCTCCTCCTCCTGCTCCTCCTCCCTCATCCTCCTCATCCTCCCGTTCCTCCTCCTCCTCCTCCTCATCCTCCTCCTCCTCCTCCTCCTCCTCCTCCTCCTCCTCCTCCTCCTCCTCCTCCTCCTCCTCCTCCTCCTCCTCCTCTCCTCCTCCTCCTCCTCCTCCTCCTCCTTCCTCCTCCTCCTCCTCCTCCTCCTCCTCCTCCTCCTCCTCCTCCTCCTCCTCCTCCTCCTCCTCCTCCTCTCCTCTTCCTCCTCCTCCTCCTCCTCGACTACTGCCACGCCGACCAGCAGATCCGACGGAGGCAACACGGGCGGCGAGATCATCCTCTCCAGGTACCACGTCCAGGCCACAACCTTCAACCACCTCCGCGACCTGGCCATCTCCCAGCGCAGGCCCGACCCGTTCCGAGGCTTCACGCCCATGGTATGGCACAGACGCTCGGGCAACCTGGTCGTTATTGCAGCATACCTGGAACCCCACAGGCAGATCGAGGGTGCAGTGCACGATAAGCTACTCTCGCTGGGGGCCTTCGTTACTATGCTCACGGACCCTTGGATCATCCTGGCCGATTGGAATATGACTCCTGAGCAGCTCGCAGCGACAGAGTGGCCCGCCAAATGGAATGCTACCATCGTGCGAGCGCCTGGATCTGCCACGTGCGACAAAGGCCAGGGACTCACGCTCGACTTCGCATTGGTCAAGACTGGCATCGAGCACACGATCTCCATTCGCCAGTGCCCCACCGTCCCCTGGGCCACCCACGTTGGCCTT